GTAATCTGTTTATTACCATACTGGTACTTATTCCCTCCCTTCCTGCTTACCTGTCTGCAGGGGTGTGTGTGTGTGTCTCGCTGAGAGCAGAGAGAGAGGTAGGGGTGTGTGTATGTGTGCCTCACCAACAGCAGAGGAGACATGGGCCTTGAACAGGAAAGCCAGATGCTCCCAGGCAGAGCAGGGTGCCTCCCGCCGCACTGAGGCTCTGACTTTGCCCGGGCTGAGGGACCACGCACAGTCCGGAGGTGAGCGCTGCGCTGCCCCGGTGAGGGGATCGGCGCTCCTCGGTTTGCTAAAACGGGGCGGGCAGGGAGCCGCACACCACCCATTCCCCAGGCCTCCCATTTTGCAAACCAGCCACTGTCCGGAGGGAGCTGCGGCTGGAGGAGGAAGAGTTAAGCGCCGATGTGTGTGTGTGTGTGTGCACGCGCATGCATGTTTGTGCAGTTTTTATTCCTCCCCTGCCGCTCAGCTCAGTGATTTTGAGACTCGAGGAGAGCAGAGGAGACCCGGGCTTTGAACACAAAAGCAAGGAGCTCCTGGGGAGAGTGGGGCACCTCCCGCCACACCAAGCCTCTGACCCTACGGATCTGCTCTTTGCAGTTTGCTCTGACACACTGAGTCTGGAGAACTTCGGACTCTCCCATGCTCCCAACAGTGCAGTGCAGCCTTCATAGGAGTGCAGCTCCCCTCACTGGGGCAGCGCACTCACCTCTCCGGACTGCGCGGTGCCTCAGCCCGGGTAAAGTCAAAGGCTCAGTGTGGCAGGAGGCGCCCCCCTCTGCCCGGGAGTTCCTGGCTTTCCTGTTTGAAGCCCCTCTGCTGTGCATGTCTGCTGAGAGACATGCATACACACATACCCTTCTGCCCTTGGCGACACACACACACACACACACACACACACACACATATACCGGCGCTTAACTCTTCCTCCTTCAGGTGCAGCGCGCTTGGGACAGCAGCTGGTTTGCAAAGTGGAAGGCCCGGGGAATGGGTGGCGCATGGCTCCCTGTGCTGAGGAGCCCTGTGATGAGGAGCCCTGCACTGAGGAGCCCTGCAGATCTGCTCTTTGCGTTTTGCTCTGACATGGTCCCCGGACTCTCCCATGCTCCCAATGGCATGGTCGAGCCCTCAGGGGCTAACCCCCCATGCCAAAGTTTCTCCCGACGGGAAGGAGGGAGGAGCGGGCGAGACCGTGGGGAGCCAGAGGAGAGGCTGCATCTTCCACGCTTGCCAGTCCTGGGGCGATCTGAGAGGGGTTGGGTGCAGCCCCAGGGGGGCATTGCGCAGTGCTCCGTGGGCTCCGCACCTCCCTCTGCTGCCATCTGGAGCGGCAGCACTGGGTTGTGCCGGCTGCCAAAAAAGAAATGCTCTCCCGGCTGCTGGTGTTTTGCTCTCCCAGCCCTGCCGCTTGAGGTGAGAAGCTGCAGGGCATATCAGCGTATAACACGCAGCTAGGATTTCAGCCCCAAATTTTAGGGAAAAAGTGTGTGTTATACACCAATAAATATGGGAATAAGTGTTGGTATTCATTGATCATTGTCTCCTAGAGAGTGAAGTCAAGTGGGCCTTAGGAAGCATTGCTAACAACAAAGCTAGTG